TAGTGTCCCTGAAGGAAAAGAAGGGGGGGTTATAGATTTAGAGAACAAGACATACACACTCTTTTTGACTCATGTTGGCTGGCTGTCTCATCATTACAAACAAAACAAAGGTACCATTGTATCCAATAATAGGTTTGTGTTGAAAATCCATCCTCTAATGGGAAGTAATGAATACATAATAGGCCATAAAGAGCAGCGTCAACCACTCAACGCTGTCTGACAGTCACTGCTCAAAGTGAGTTTATTCTAGCACAAGATGCGTCAAATTCATTCAGGTTATTGTTTATCTGACCCACACACATTTCCATCTCAATCAGTCTAAATAAATCTTTTTAACATGAGCGGCGCTGAATGCTCGGCTGTGCTAGTGCTTATTATTTTGACAATTATTCCTGATAATTAGGTGCAGGTTCACTCTATTAGACTTGCCCTGAATTTAAACAGTAATTACTCTGACTAAAGTGGCTTACTGCAGCTCAAAGGCACATGGGCTGGGGATTTTGAATAGACAAATATATTTTGGAATGAAACATAAATTATTAGTAGGACACGCAAGCTTTACTACAATTCTTTCAAAGCTCTAATCCCCCTAATAAGTTTTAAACTTCATTAAATGACTCCTATTGCACTGTACTGCAGGTTTAAATAAGGCTTTTCACATTGCTCTTATCCCCAGGTTATAATTGCTCTAAACACATTTCACACTTGTAAGTTAGAACAGGGTTTCATCACTGTTTTTATTCGGGGATGCCAAACCCTTTTCTGGACCAGGGATTGCACCACTTGTTGGTTTTCAATCTAGCACTGCATTGACTGACATCTGCAGTGCATATCTGTCAACATTGGGATGTGAAAATAAGGGATATCAGGACATGACATGACATGTTTAGATATTATGATTACATGCAAATGTCTGTTCAAATGTTCAAAAACGCTTCCACTTCAAATCACCTATAAAGAATCTGTTTGGTAAACAGCGTCTATTAATCACTATGGAGCGCGTGCAATGGATCTATGTAATGGAAACAAAATCAGTTTACAAATTAAGTTATGTGTAATAAAATGAAATGGCACTGGGAAAAAGTACTGAACACTTGAAGAAAGGGAGGTCTAAAAAGGCATTGAAAGCCCAGACAGCAGCTGAAATGTCTCGGGCGTTAGAAAGCAACCCTCTGCCCTTCATCATTAGCTATGTTTCCATCCAAAAATGCAAATTTACTTTATGAGCAAAACTGAACTATTGCATAAAAAATGTGCGAACAAAGCAGCTTTTCCATCCAATGACTTATATCAAACAAAATAGTCACTTCCTGATCAGCTGGTGCCAAATATCAACAGTAAAAAAATGAAATTTGCTGCAGTAGGAGAAGCTGTGTGAATCCTTTCTTCATTTAACAAATGACTTGCACCTCAAAAAACTCACTCGAGAAGTTCCAGAAGTCATTGCAGATGAAGGAGGTGGGAAATGCAGCATTTTATATAGATTTATTATTAAAGTTCAGATATATAACTTATTTATTTCAGAAGTTTCCTTAAATGAGACGATTAATGTAAACATTAGCATGACAATTTTAATTAATACCTAAACACATTAAGGGAGTTTATTAGCTGAAATTCATATTAAAATCTGTTAATTGTATTGTATTGTATTGTATATGCTGAATAAGTTGGTGGTTCATTCCATTGTGGTAACCCCTGATGAATAAAGGGAATAAGCCGAAGGAAAATGAATGAATGCATTTTTTGCAAGATTAGACTCATATATAAACAGTCATTTGAGGAGAAAACAATCAAATAATAGTGATGGAAAATATGTCAGTTGGAGTAAAGATTTTTAATTTTTATATAATGGCCTACAAAATCTATTCAGCAAAAACAAGAAGAAGAAAAAAAAACTTGATGACATTCAGGAATATATGTGCAAAGTTAGATGCTTTTATGCAAATATGATTGTGCTTTACGCTACCCAAGGGTTTATGAACATACAGTGTGAAATGCCAGTTTATGAATACTCATTCTTAACCCTAGGTAACACTATTCACCTGGGTTTAGAATGACCCAGGGTTGACCCTTGCATAATTATCAACCCATAGCCATACAGCAAAGAAGGCATCTAAAAATAGAAAACCACGCACACACAGACACACACACATACACACACACACACACACACACACACACACACACACGCAAACACACATTCACACGCACACACACACACAAAACTATCAGGACATATAGTGACATCCTTTGAACAAGCCCACATGCAGCAACACAGCCCAGCACTTTTTTTTTTTTTTTGCACTAACAATCTCCACTGACATTTTCTTCAGTGAATTATGGATGCAGTGGTCGTGCCCTTCTCCTCTCCACATAAGAGTCAATCACATTTGTAGGTGCGTCAGACAGACACATTTTTAATCTGAATATTGACCATATTGAATCGTGGGAAATTGCTGGGCATTACCGCTGTTAACAGCCACTTGTAAAACAGCGTTGAGCGTGACCTGCATATTATTTCATATCATATATCATCTGACAGCAATTAATTTCAACGCTCCCCCTCAGTGCCACCCACAAGCTCGTCTGTAGACTGCAGAACATATGTTTTAATGACATTTTAAAATATAGTGGTAAATATGTCACATCTGCCCCGGTAAAAGAGAAGAGAAAGCAACTGGAAGCTGATTTTCAATTTAAAAGGCAATTTACTGGCAGTTTGGGTGAGAAAGGTCTTGACTTCAATCTAGGTGGATGAATTTGCATAATTGCCACACAAAGCCACAATTTGCACCTGTATGTCTTAATTTGATAATGTCTCTATATCTTACCCTGTGTGTCTGAGAGAGAAAGAGATGAACTGTTCCAAAACCGTGTGCAATCTCTAGACATGAATGCTTTTACAAAAGGCTGCCAATATAATCACACATTCTTTGTAGAGAAGACACACGTCAACACAAACAAATGTGGTTGATTGAACACATCACCATTTTCTCAGAAAACATATTTCTAAGGTTCTCTTGCTGTTTTTTTTTTTTTTTTTTTTTTAATAAATGTTGGTAACAACCAAATAAATCCATCTATGCAATGGAAACAAAATCAGTTTACAAATTAAGTTATGTGTAATAAAATTAAATGGCACTGGGAAAAAGTACTAAACACTTGAAGAAAGGGAGGTCTAAAAAGGCATTGAAAGCCCAGACAGCAGCTGAAATGTCTCGGGCGTTAGAAAGCAACCCTCTGCCCTTCATCATTAGCTATGTTTTCATCCAAAAATGCAAATTTACTTTATGAGCAAAACTGAACTATTGCATAAAAAATGTGCGAACAAAGCAGCGTTTCCATCCAATGACTTATATCAAACAAAATAGTCACTTCCTGATCAGCTGGTGCCAAATATCAACAGTAAAAAAATGGAATTTGCTGCAGTAGGAGAAGCTGTGTGAATCTTTTCTTCATTTAACAAATGACTTGCACCTCAGAAGGCAATCCTGATATGCAGTGAACGCGGAGTAGCTTTTGAAGGCATCAGACTGGAGCACAGACTCTCTCTATTCTAGAGGTAATTAATAATAAAATAACATTAATACTAAAACAGTTACGGTGTTTTAGAATTACCAAAACAACATTTCAGATGTGTTACAGTGTGCTCAGCCTGATAGTTTGTCCATTCACACACATTTTTATCATCACATGATCTCATAACAAAATCAAATGATAATTTTTAATGAGCATAACGGAATTTGTTCAGTAAAAGTGTTTCCATCACAGTTTATGCGCATCTTTTCTTATTGAATAAAAAGTTTATCATACTCTGTTATGCGCATTTTCAAAATGCACATAAAAATAGTTGGATGGAAATGTAGCTATTTTATATTAATATTTGCTGCTTTAGTTTAACATCTACATTAGCATGATGATGAAGATGAAACCAAGGTGGACATTTCAGGAAGAAAATGATCCAAATAACAGCCAAGGAAACTCAAATGGTTTCAGAGAAAGAATATCAAGCTGTAGAATGGCCTAGTCAATCACCTGACTTGAATCCACTAAAAAATACAAAATAAAGCTCAAATAGATAGACGGTACTGACAGAACCCTCAAGATTTTAACACTCTGAGCAAAACATGCAACTTCATTCTCTATATGAGAGGTGTCTTTAAGCTGCCATCACCAAAAAAAAAAAGTGTTTTATATAAGGAATTAAACACATTTCAGTACTTTCTCCTTGTTTCATTCCATTGTTATCACACATAACCCATTTTATCTTTGTATTGTTTGTGTTTTTACCAAAACCTGGTTCAATTTCTTGTCAACAGCTCCTTTAAAATATGTTTCCCAGAAAAAAAATAAATAAATCATATGTTGAATACTGTACCTATTTCCCTTTCTGTGTATACTGTATATACATTGTTTTGTTATGTTTTTTTTTTTTTTTTTGTTTTTTTGTTGTTTTTGTAAATGGTGCACTTTTAATTGGTTCTGGATTTTAGTTTAGAAACATTTTTATTAACTTTATTAAATTGCTTAATACTTATTTCAAAATGGTTTAAAAACATTCAAAAGTAGCGTTCCTTTCATGTTTAAAATATAAAATGGACCATAAGGTTGTAAGGGTTTCTAAGGTTTGATTTTTTTAGATAAATAAGCAAAGAGATGTTTCACAGTGCATCTGTTTTGTACAAGATAGCTGTTTGTACGCTGCTGATGGAAATCAATTCAAATTTGTCAGTTATGATCTTTCATTTGATTTAGGATGATGACTTATGAGACAACATAAGCACACTGCAGACAACACAGCAGCTAGTTTTCGAACAAAACCTTTATGTCCGAATGATGTTCTCATTCAATTGCTAGTAAATGTCATCAAAGTCGGCATTTCTATTTATTCTTGACTGCCTGTGGGATTTTTGTCAGAGTTTTTCAATAAATCACACATTCTATCCTCTAACCCTTAGATAGCCCTGATAACTTACATCCACTCTCTGTTTTATTCTCAGGAGACAAGGATCAACTGCATTCGAATCGCTCGTAAAGGTAATTCATTCTTTATCTGCACTGTTTACACGCTTGAGGGCATGTCTTTCTGACAGCACATATACATCATCTCTAACCAAATGTCCCTGCTGCGGACTCACTCACACTTTGGCAAGAGATAAATGCATATTTGTTACCTTAATGTGGCACTCTCTGAAAATGCGAGTGCTGATAGTTGGGCACAATCCACCCAGTAGTATCATTTGAATATTACATAATCATTCCTCATTCAAGTTTGGCCCAGTGAGCCAAAATAATAAAAAGAGACTGACAAAAATGCAGCATTCCAAAATGTGCCACTGATTAAGCAATCCCACGATGCATGTGGTTCCACAATTATAAGTGCATTAACATTTATACATGTGGCAGATTTTTTTTTTTTTAATCCAGATATTATACTGAGTAGCACTTTAAAGTAAGTTTCCATTAGTTAATGTAAGTTAATGTGTTTATTATCACAAACAAACAATGAAGAATGTATTTATGACAGTATTTTATAGTCCTGTTTTAACATACAGAGCATTGACTAATGTTAACAAGCACAATTTTAATAATGCACTACACCTCATATTTCTACCAGAAATAGTTGACCACCCAGTAACCTTTGACATACTCCTTTCAGCATACTGCTGTTGGGGAAATACAATTTATATTACTATTTAGGGTGGATAAATGGGAATTGGGGTGCAGCAATTGTAACACAACAACAGCAGCATTTGTCAAACCACTTTATAGTCAGTCTGGTACTCCACCATCACCCTCCCTGTAACCAATCCTGCAGCTTCCCCTACATTTTGACAGAACCATGTTTCTAATTCAAGAGCCCAATATATACGGTTGAAGTCAGAATTATAAGCCCCCTTTGATTTTGATTTTTTTCCCCTTTTTTAAACATTTCCCAAATTATATTTAACAGAGCAAGGACATTTTCATAGTATGTCTGATAATATTTTTTTTTTCTTCAGGAGAAAGTCTTAATTGTTTTATTTTGGCTAGAATAAAAGCAGTTTTTAATTTTTAAACACCATTGTAAGGACAAAATGATTAGCCCCTTTAAGGATTTATACATAAATACATACATACATATATATATATATATATATATATATATATATATAAATATAAATACTTTTTTCATATATAGTGTTAAAAGAGAGAAAAAAAATATATATATATATATTATAATTTTGTACAATATATATGAAACAAAAAATATGTATGACACTTGCTGATCTGTTGCTCTGCTTTGCAAAAATATAAAGACATGTAGCCAAATGTATAGTAAAAGTCAATATTCAGAGGGTAAAACAAGTGCTTCTGTTCAAGGCTGTTGAATGGCAGGTTTATGAAAATAATTATTACTTTGTTATTCTGTTAATTGCTTTGTGAATTCATCTTTATTTAGCAGTTATAAAATTAAAGTGCATTGTGCAAAAAGGTTGTTGCCAATATTAAGCATACGGTACTATACTGCTATACTACCTGCCACAGACCACCAGCAGAATGATCCTTTAACCTCCCTGTTTTATCCATCAGATTCTGTTATTTAGGCATTTATCTAATCAATGATATTCTAATTAATGTGCCACAGCAGATGGCATAATGATGCTCTTCCATCTCTGTGATTTTTCAAATGGCAATTTCTGCTTTTGGAAGCACCACAGGGGCTTAAACTAAATCGAGAGAGGGAAAAAGAGAGATAGAGAGAGAGAGAGAGAGAGAGAGAGAGAGAGAGGAGAAAGAGAGAGAAAGAAAAAGAGATTTCATGCTGTTCTCTGGTGCTGTTTGGAAATTGACTGCATTAACAGACAGAGAAAATGGACACACAAAATTTGTGGAACATGTTCAAAATGGCCACCAGTTTCAGTGTGACAATATTTTTCAACTTTGTGACAAATAGAAACACCTTGTCATTGTTGGACATTTAGGTGGTCAGTGGTTTATATATGTTGCATGATACAGGGAAAAAATATATACATACATAAATATACATATAAATACATACAGCTGATAAAATAAGTATTAAACACGCCACTGTTTTCTTTTTTTTTTTCAAAAAAATTATTTTAAAGGTGCCGTTGACTTGAAATTTTCACCTGATGGTAGTAACATCTAAAATAAGCATAACAAAGACAACATTAATATTAAATATTGATATATGTATAATAAAATTAAATATTATTAAACACATGATGTAAGGGAGATGTAAAAAGGCATAAAAGTCCCAGATTGCATGCAGTTAAAATCTATCAGTATACCTGCTGCCTCAGTAACTGATGCGTTATTGGACTTAAAATACAAAATAGAGGACTAATTTCTTATAGTCTTTTATTTGTACTATAGATTCTCAAAGCCCAGAACATATTAAACCTCTTCGCATCTTGACTTGAGCAGAGACTTCAGAGAGTCAGAATGAGATGGTATTTTAAATAAATTACACTCGTCATCACACTGTACATGCCATTATTCAGTTTAAAATACTTTGCAGCAGATGCCTTCCAACTGCAATGCAGTTTTGGGACAAACCCATCCATTTTCACATTCATTAATGAACTCTATGGCTAATTTAGTTCATCCGATTCACTTATAGCACATGTCTTTAGACTGTGAGGGAAAACGGAGGACCCGAATGAAATCCCCGTAAACACTGGGAGATCATGCAAACTCCACACAGAAATGCCAAATGGCCCAGCTGACCAACTGAACCAGCGATCTTTTTGCTCGTAGGCAACAGCGCTAACCACTGAGCCATCGTGTCACCTGTCCCTCTTCAGTGTAAATGAATGTGAGCTGGTTCAGTCTCAGCACCCCATATCCAGATGATGAAGTTAAAACCAGAGTGGACATTTCAGCAAGACAAATATCCCAAACAAAGCCAAAGAAACTCTCAATTGATTTTAAATAAGAAACTAGAGCTAAATGGCACACCTTTTTAAATATATTTACCAGGAAAAGCCATGACATGTTCAATACTTATTTTACCCACTGTATATATTTAGTTATTACATGCATACAGTACATGCACACTTTAGCCAACAGAAAAGTAGTCATCCAGTGAGGCATTGAATTAGTGATGTGGCAATAACTATCCTACAGTATCTGGTATTGTGATGTCCACAGCAATTCTTACAGTTACTGGAACATTGCATGTCATGGTGGTCGTGATGTTGCATTAACACACTTTTCCAAGTGGAGCCACAAATGCTCAGTTGGGTTCATGTCAGGTGAATTTGGAAGCCAAGACATTACAGAAATTCACCGGCATGATTGAGAATCCACTTCTTGATCATTCTGGCAGACTAGCATTGCACATTATTCTGTTGCCATAAATGAGTGCACGTGCTCCACACCAATATTCAGACACTTGACTGATTTCAGAGATTGCACTACTGGGATAATGGGGCCCGAAATGTCCCGAGACAACATTACCCACAGCTTAATAGCATCAACACCAGCCCGTGTCTGGCCAACAATGCATCAGATGCCAACGCCTCTGATGGTCATCTGCATATCCACACGCATGATGCACTAGGAATTTAGATTCAGCAGAACAGGTTTCAATTTTCCAATTATTCACAATCCACATAGTATTTTATATATGGTCAAACTAAAGTGCATTCTGTTTGTCTGTCTATCTATCTGTCTATATTTCTGTCTGTGTATTTATTTATTTCTATTGGGGCAGGACACTATGAATCATTAATGTAATTGAAGACTTCAAAATAAAATAAACTGTTACATATTTTACACACACGTGCAGTAAACTAAAGCCCAACAGGAAATAAAGAAGCTGCTGACACAATTTATTTATTTAGGAAATATATTCAGTAAGTTTAGGTTTGCATGAACCTGGTTTACATCATCAGGGGACTGATATCACTGAGCTAAGCACCCAACAAAGTATTAATGGTTATGTAGATATTGTCATACTAACAGTTTTTTATTTTATTTTATTAATTGGTTTCTTGTCATCTGAAATTATCAAGATGAATTTGTTCTGTCACTTTTTAACTGTGAATAACTGAGTTTTCTAATCTATAGTGTAAACCATTTTCTGAGCTATAGTGAGTGAATAGTCATAATATGAGAAAAGTTAAAGGTGTTGGAATCATTTGTGGTTTTACCCTATATGAACAGTTCAGATGCAAAAACATCTAAGTGCTGTCTGAAATTTCCATCGAAAATTAGCATTTTTCTCAGACTCATGTGTTTATGTTGAGCTATTTCATTTAAAAGACCTTTAAAAGACTGTATTCTTTGCCATAAACCCGAAATCACTGAACCTACACCCAAAAACCTGATAAAATGCTCAATTTTGAAGGAAATTTTAATCTGCTTTTTGCATCTGAACTTTTCATATTTAAACAATTCATCATGAAAACATTATGAAAACAGATGTGCTACAGTACTAATACACTAATACATAAATGCTACAGTATAGTTATGTCTTGTACTATATATTTTTTTTCTTATTTAAATGTTGGCACACACTGCTGGTTTCAGAGTAAAATCTCTCTATATTGTTGTATAGATTCCATATAGAATTAATCTAAACTGAGGTTCAAAGACTTTAAAAAAAGAAGGAAAGAAATCTGTATATGGAACAGGACGTCCAACTCATGACTGATTTTTAGATATGGCAGACTTTCTCACTACTGTACTGTACTAGACAGCTAGGCACTGCATGTTCTAGACTGTGCTCATATTATTTTAGAACTGAAATAATGTCAGTTTTGGTTAAATCTCTGCAATTTTCAAGGAACACGAAATCATATTGCATAGTAACATTAATGAAAAGAGACATAGGGTAAATTGTTTAAAATTGGATTTGTTCATCTAGCATTCTCAGCTTTGGGAACTGAACAGAAACGGGCTCCTTTGCAACACTGACCTGACCCCAGATTGCCAAAAAGCTGGTTTGCTCTTGCTCCAAGGGCAACCCGGGTTGAACCTCTTCCCCTGTGGCTTGTTCATGTGCTGCTTTATGCCGATAAACTCTTTCTTCATCTCCCTCCAATCCCTGCGATACCTTTAGCAGATTAGCATGCAGTAGTTTGCCAGCTTCACCTGGCTTCTGTTCTAATCTTCTAATGCTCATCTGCTGCTTGAGATAATGCAGTGAGCTGTATTAAGAATTCGACTGTTAAAAAATTGCTGAAAATACTGAAATACAATATGAAATACATATATATGCATTTGCTCAAAAATGGTTTTAAAGATGATTTTTGTTTATTAGAAAAACTGAAATTTCAGCCACTGCTGTCAAGCAGAAAGATTTACAGCAAATGCATAATGGTTTCATTAGCATATTTGTATTATCATGTTTAATACAATTTAATATTTTTTGTTCAATATACTATAATTTCTACATGTTAAAATATATTAAAATACACAACAATTTCTACATTGGATCTGCAGTAAACATGTAGTTAAGAAATTGTGATCACATACATACATTTCTGCTAAAACGTTTATAAAAATTAAAATGCCATATAGGTGACACGCTGGTGCATCGGGTAGCAGGTTTGTCTCACAGCAAGAAAGTCGCTGGTTTGAGACGCAGCTGGGTCAGTTGGCATTTCTGTGAGAAGTTTGCATGTTCTCCCCGTGTTTATATGGGTGTCCCTTGGGTGCTCCGTTTTCCCCCACAAGTCCAAAGATATGTGGTACAGGTGAATTGGGTATGCTAAAATTGACCATAGTGTGTGAATGAGTGTGTGTTTCCCAGTGATGGGTTGTGGCTGGAAGGACATCTGCTGCGTAAAACATGTGCTGGTTAAGTTGACAGTTCGTTCTGCTGTGACGACCCCAAGTTGATGAAGGGACTAAGCCGAAAAGAACATGAATGAATGAAAATGCCATATATAATATGCTATTAAAATATATGCTCTCATCTTTAAGAATACTATAGTAAAATATTAGTTTATTTTTTTCTTTATAATTTTCATTCCTTTTATTTATGATGTAATACTGTAAATACAAAATTAATTGTTAAAATTAAAAACTATTTTGAAAATGCCACATTCTACATAACCTTAAATATTTAATTGTATATATTATTGTTCTTAAGTAGTTATACACATTTTGAGGGTTTTTTTTTTTATTCTTTTTGTTTCATTAACTTATTCTGTCTTTCCATTTTTAGTGGCCTGTAAGGACCATAAGCGTGCTTTGGAGGTGTCCCAGCATGCCGAGGACATGGGGCTGATCCTGGGGGCCTGTGCCGGGGGCCTAGTTGTTCTCATTCTGCTGCTTGGAGCAATTGTGGTTATTGTTAAGAAAGGGTGAGTATGTGTGGACAGATCCAATTAAAGTCAAATTCAATTCACAGCATCACACCAACTGCTGCACTGCCCAAACACAGTAATAAACCAGTGGATGAAACGATCTGATGGGTCTTCAAAAGCTGAAGTGATTCAATTAGAGCTGACTACAAACTCATCATTGCTCAGATATGAACCATGGGGATTCTTTTTTGGGGTAGAGAACACAATTTTTGCCACTATTACATGGCTCTTTGGAATACCTAATTGTGATTGGTCAGTGGCTGCATTCTGCACCCATGTAATAAGTGTTTTCACACATACACATATTGTTCATATGTGAATAGCTTTCTTTATGGGTAAAAAAGTACATTGAATAAATAGTGCACCCAACTACTAAACCACAACACAAATTAGTCATATTGATTGATTGATTGATTGATTGATTGATTGATTGATTGATTGATTGATTGATTGATTGATTGATTGATTGATTGATTGATTGATTGATTGATTGGTTGATTGGTTGATTGATTGAAGTGTACGTTTCCCCCTGAGGTTCATTAATTATGTCATAGTGAAATGTTTTAAGGCCACATCAACCATACTTTAGATTATTATGGTAGTTTCCACTGCCATTGACATTTTTTATATCAAAGTGTGCCCTTTACTCAAATGGAAAAACATTGGGTTAAAGTAGGCAGCTAACAATCACAGATCCAGAAACAGTCCAATGACAAAATCAAAGTAAGGCATGCTCTAAGTAAAATTAGACTTCTAAATGAGCTGTATGTGTGTGCTGCTTAAATAGGCACTCTGAGCAGGTAAACCAGGAATCATTGCAATGGATTATGAGAAATGTAGTCTGGGTGAATGTCAGTGGTAAAGGATGAAAATTTCATGGGCACTTTAGCAAGTTTAAAATCTTTATAACTTGAATTTAATCTTAGCATAGAAGTGTCTGCCAAAAAAGTACCAAAATCTACAGTAGGGTAACCTACATGGTTTTCTCTTATTCTCTTTCCATGCTCTCCAGAAGGGACATCTATTCCTACCCCTACTACCCGTAAGTCCTTCTCTCATCAGGCTCCCATCAGCCCCTGTTGTTTAGCTTTGATTTGTTGAAGACTAGTAAAACTCTCTGATTTTCAGTCTTTTATCATATTTCCTATTGTTCTTACTTGAACTGCTTCTTCTGAATTGTCTCCATTGATTAGCATGTCTTTCTTTTATTTAATCTCAATACTTTATATTTTAGCCAGACTGTATCTTGTTTTCCAAACTTTGCAGCAGGAAGAAGGTCAACATAAACAAAGCGGTGATGACATATCGTCAGGAAAAGACGTGTAAGCTGGGGTCATTGGACTGCAGTACGACAGAGCACAGTACACTTCAACAGGATGATCGCACTGCACACACCTTCCTGGACTCTCATAACTGCACTGCTAGGAGTGAGTAGACATAGACTTACAGTATACTAATAATATAAAATGTACCAAATGTGTTCATATTTAATAATACAATATTTCACACCATATGCAATGGGGGCCCATTTCCAACTATTAACATGAAAATATTTTTTTTATGAAAAATCTCAAAACAACTATTTTTTTTTGCAAATAATTTTCAATTAAAAGTTATGATATAAGTGAGATATAATTACACAATTGTTTATATAGTAGTTAGATACAATAGTTAGATATAAACTTGCAATAATTTTATTTATTGGAATTGCAAGTTGATATTACACAATTTTGACATTACAACACACAATTGAATTATAAAATCACAACTTTCATACAAACTCGTAATTGTTATAAAATACCTCCTTAAAACTCATAACTCATAATTGTATGGAAAAGAAGAAAAGATGTTAGTAGAAAAGACAAAATGATGCAACCCAGGCTCATTGTGGATATGCACCCAGGTCTACATTTCTGGGGACAGCGAAATACTAAACGAGAGGTACGTCTGCTCGCTGTTTCGTTTTAGCAAATCCACCAGAAGCTGCTGTGTACTCTTTTTGATGATCTCAAATCCACCAGAGGGAGATATATATATATTGATGTCAACTGACTGACTGATCTACTGATTCAACTACTGACTCAACCATCCCATTCCCGAAAACCAAATAATAACGTTTTCAAAAGCAATCTAGAATAAGAAAACATGCAGTGTGATTTCATCACGTTTTCAGCCTGTTGTTTATGTATTTATTTTATTTTTGCTTTTGTTTTACCTGGTTTGTGGAATCATTCTTTGAACTCCAACCCCGTTGTTGCAGTCGACTCCACTCCCCATATCATACCCCATGTCATACGCAACAGACTACTGGGCAAACTGGTAAGACCAGAAAAGCTGCCCATATGGAGGCAAGCGGTCAGCGGTACCGATAAAAAAGAACAAAAGCTGTCAGCAGCATCATACTGCCCCATAGCATTCATTTTAAAGACAAAATGCAGTCAGACATACCTCTGGCTACATTATTTGTCCTCACCAGAAGTGTGGACAAGGGTATGTATTCACGTTAAGCCTGTGTTGGAATGATGGGTTCATACAGTATATACACTAGTTCTGACTTTTGTATTTATTTATTTTTTGGTAACTCTGATTCTAATATTTTGGTAATTCAAAATTATGTGCAAATTTCTAACAAAATACTTTGTTTTAAATAATTTGGAGAAAAGCAAAACAGAATTGTGTGATATTACCTCAAAGGTTTAAAAAAAAATCCATTTACATAAATTAATTAATTAATTAATTAATTAATTAATTAATTCATTCATTCATTCATTCATTCATTCATTCATTCATTCAGTGGTGTACACAAATTTCCATAATCTGCAACAATAAATAAATAAACAAAACTAACAAGCAAACAAACGTGCGGTTCTTAGCTGCTAGTTCTACGAAAAAAAAGCGAGATACTAGAAGATTTGATACAATTATAGCCCTATTTGCACTTGAATATTTTTACATACTGAGACATATTGACATATTGTACCAGTCAGTGACTAAGCAGTATCCACACACAAACACCATGTAAACAAGTGAATGATGTTGCTGAAATGTTTTACAGTCATAGTACACACTTGACTTTGTTTATCCCCATTAGTCATCATTTGCATAGGGATCGCTACAATCTATCTCCACATATTAAAGATCCTCCCACTCATCTAAGAGTCCTGAATCAGTGTCCTTATCTGTCCCCTGGAACAGATGAGTGTTGTTGTGTGCCAGTGAAATGGGAGCGCTGGCTCTCTGCCTGTCTCCAGATGTCTGTGCTTACGCAATGTACTTTGCTGTGTAGTGTTAGTTTGAACTCTATTTTATTCTTTTTTATTTGAAATTGTCAATTGCACTTTCCATCTGTCACTGCAAAGAAAACTAGTCGTAATCTGGGAAAGTATCAAGCCAGTTTTATTACAAACCATCCAGTTTCTTTCAAAAATGCATTGAAAAGGAGCACATAAGCCATAACAATGGTGTGAAATATGCGCTGTATAGATTGCAAAAGCTCTTACCATGAACAATTTGATTCAAATTCAGTGCATAATGTCACAAATGGAGTTATTGACTCATAGTATGACACATACACAAACACGGGCGTACACACACACACACACATGCGCGCGCGCGCGTACATACCCACACACACGTATATATTAAAAAAAAAAAAAAGTTATAATAATACAGTGCTTCCCACAGGTTTGAAATATACTTGCAGTGGTAGCTGGATAGAAAGACACCATTTGCAAAAATCACATAAATAGTTAACTATATGCAACAAACAAAACATATTTTTTAACAATAGTTTTATTTATTATACATTGTTATACACTGTCTCTTTTTAATGGGTTAAAGTAAAAAAAAGACATCCACAATTTCTTAATTTTCTCAATTACCAACTGACAGGTAAAATCTGCTTCTCTCCCAAAGTTCAAAGCAAACTTGAATGCCAAAGCATTTTAGTTATGTATGTAAAATTGTCCGTGGAATATACAGTTGAATTCAAAATTATTAGCCCCCCTGAATTATTTGCCTCACTGTTTATTTTTTCCCCATTTTCTGTTTAGCGAAAGAAGATTTTTTCAACACATTTGTAAACATAATAGTTTTAATAACTCATCTCTAATAACTGATTTATTTTATCTTCACCATGTTAACAGTAAATAATATTTTGCTATTTTCAATACACTCCAATACAGCTTACCAGGCAGGTTAGGGTACTTAGGCAAGTTACTGTATGATGATGGTTTGTTCTGTAGACTATTAAAAACATATAAAGCTTAAAGGGGCTAATAATTTTGACCTTAAATTTTTTGGTAACACTTTACAATAAGGTTCATTAGTTAATGTTAATTAATGCATTTACTAACATGAACAAACAATGAACAATACATTTACTACTGTATTTGTTCATGTTAGTTAACGTTAGTTAATGAAAATGCAGTAGTTCATTGTTAGTTCATGTTAACTCATGGTGCATTAACTAATGTTAACAAGCATGGATTTGGATGTTAATAATGCATTAGTAAATGTTCAATTATGATTAATAAATGCTGTACAAGTGTTGTTCATGATTAGTTCATGTTAGTAAATGCATTAACTAATGAACCTTATTGTAAAGTGTTACCAATTTTTTTTCTTTTTTTTTTTTATAAAAAACTGCTTTTATTCAAGCCGAAATAAAACAAATAAGACTTTCTTCAAAAGAAAGAAAAATATTATCAGACATACTGTGTTAATTTCCTTGCTCTGTTAAACATCACTTTGGAAACATTTAAAAAAGAAAAAAAAATCAAAGGAGGGCTAATAATTCTGACTTCATCTTTATTAACATCATCAATTTAATAAAATAATCAGCAATTTAGAAATAATTGACAGAAAAAGGAATAAAAAAGACAATATTTTCAAAAACAATTATAATTAGATTCATAAAATCATAAAAGATTAAAATCTGTAGATTAAAGCAAATGCGTTGATTAACCATCATGGTGTACATATACTTTCCAGTCAGTTTAGACTAGTCATTTCATCCTCTCTGAGTATATAGTAAATTCAGGAGAGGGAGGTCACCCATAATATGATTGCACATATTGCCCATTCTTAAATTGCCCATATTGCCCATTCCTAAATCCACCACTGAGTACATTTTTCAGAGTCATTTAAATAAATAAATTATTAATAAATTAAATATATATATATATATATATATATATATATATATATATATATATATATATATATTATTTAATGTTTCTCTTGCCGCTGTGCATGCAGTGAGCTGCGAAGCCAAGCAAAAGTAGGTTTTAGTTAAAAGGTGATGCAAAAACGCATACATTTAGAAAGTAAAAGCAAAAGTGAATCCAGGACAATTTACGAGATTTAGAACCCGGGCTGGACAAATATTTTATATCCCAAAAATGTGCTCATCTGCGGGTCTGCAAAGTACTTGACACTGTGAAAGTGTTGACAGTTCTCGCTCACACAACGAAACAGGTAAACGAGAGAAAACTTAATACTACTTAATCGATCACAGGTGTCTAGTTATACTGGGTGGATTCAAAAAATAAAAATAAAAAATCTGTAAATATGGAAAATAAGTTAATAATAGCAAAACAAGTGTCACTTAATATACTTGGCGTATAAAATACATAATTAATTTATGAATTATTTTTGATAATAATTTGGAGATAATATAGAATTATTATGTAATAAATTACATGCAGGAAGTAATATTGAGATACCATGGCTGTTTTACAAAAATAAGAATGAGTCTATAAACTCTGTGGTTAAACACTAAGCAAATCAATTTTAAAAATGACTTCAATCCTGAATTAAAATAATTTTAAAGGTTCAGTTAACAATTCACTGTTCACTATTTTCAAATTAATGGAATGTTTACTTAGGAAACCCAAGAATTTTCTATTATACAAACTGTGACGATTTAGTATGATATTCCACAACCTCAATATTCTGAGAAAAAAAAAAAAAAAACTTCCTAACCTAACTTCCTAGTCAGCCCTTTCAGCATCGAATCAATGACTGGGACTATTGATCTTAGGCTAAGAAGCAAGAGTGTTTCAAGCCTTTCATTAGTACTGGAAGATGAAGTTAATTTGTTATTAATGTATGATAAAAGTAAATCCAGTTTTATTTATTTATTTCTTTTCCCTACAGAATAAACCCTGAAAAGGGTGATCAGGATTCTAACTCAAGGCAAACGTTGTCTTGTATCACTTTTGCCATATCACAGACATTAGCAATTAGCTGGACGTACATTACCCCAATTTTTACACAACAAACAGAAGTAAACTAAACACTAAATAGTAACACATTTATTTTAGTTTGATAAACACAAAACCTCATTAAAAAAGCTGTTACAAATAAGAGGGATATGGTACAGTCACATATAACATGGATTTTCAACAAATAAATAATTATGCACAACGAGAAATACTGATTTAAGGAAAAAAAGTTTCTTATCTTAATAGTCATACACAGAATTAAAAACAATCATCCTGACAAGAGGATAAAAACAGTAACAACAGTAAAATAATACTTCCCTCAGATTAGAGGAACACAAGATGGCAGCAGCTGTGTTAGCATGAAAAAAGAGGTGGTGGGGATATGATAGCTGGATTAAATATTAAAATATTTACGCAAAATGTTGATTTGAGTTTTAATATTTTATTGGGTTCTATCAAATGTGTATTGCCATAGACTTTATTTACCTATGTAAACCTATATTATCAGTTATTTCCTGTTCAGTGATCCTATTCTGTGATCATTGTAATAACAAACAGATGGATGATGCATTTGACACTAATTATTCTTTAGAACGTCAATTATTCTTGAGAGCTGTGTAATTGTCTTTAGGTGTATTATGGAATCATAAACAATATGCATACTTCATGAGTGAAAGACAGAAAACATTCTGAATACAGAAAAAAAAGTTTGGTTTTCTTCAATCGAAAGTATATAAATATTAATAACTCTGTCAGAGCAGTGGTTCTCAAACTTTTTTTGTCTCTCTGTCTCTAAATACCACCATACTGACAAGACAGATTAATAACTATATATATATATATATATATATATATATATATATATATATATATATATATATATATATATATATATATATATATATATATATATATATATATATATATATATTGGAAACTTTATAAATAGTTTGAACATTAACACTGTTTTTAAAAGTTAATTAAAAATGGTAGGCTACCGTTCTAAAAGTAAAAAGAAAACTGCTGTACTTAAATGTAAAGTATTACCAAATAGTAACCTATCATTAAAACCTGGAAATGTTGCTTGGACCGCATACATATAGGCTATTATTTATTCTTATTTATATATAAACCCTGTTTAATACATTTTGAAATATGTGTTATGTACACATGACATATTTGTTTATCTTTAAAATTTTTAACTATTAACTTGTACAGTATATATATATATTTATTATATGCATAAATACAGTGCTTGACCAATTCATACATGATTTGTCCATTCATATGTGTGGAATTTCTGTGATTTTAGATCTCATCTTAAGCATATTTTTATTCAGGATGTTTTAATGTAATTTGATACCGCGTAGCGAACATAAAAGAAAAACCTCTGCATTTTGGGAATCGCGTGATCATTTAAGGTAATCAAAATTAGCTGTTAACATGGTAGACTCTTAATCAGTATTATCTTAATCATCAAAGTTGAGTACTGGTGTCGATGTGAATGAAAGTGCCAGATGAATTCGCAAGCTGTCAAAGACCCATTTCTCTGCCTTAACGCTCTGTCCATGAGCCCTCTAATGTTTCATTAAGTTTGACATGTTTCCCCTCTTTTGTAAAGCGTCTGCTTCACGTTGGTGTGTCAGAATATTTGCAAAAAATTGCAATTAATCACATAAATTGTTTTAATCATTTATATATATATATATATATATATATATATATATATATATATATATATATATATATATATATATATATATATATATATATATATATAGTTGTTGTTTAGTTCAACTGTTGGATCTGTCTATTTTAGAAATAAAAAAGATTAAAATAAAAAATAAAAAATAAATAAAATAGGATATACCATTTAAAAAAAAAGTTGTTTTTTGCTTCCAGCACTCTCAGTCTTTCTCTTGTAAGATTTTGTCTCCCCATAGGCATTTTTTTTCAGGCGAGTACCTGAACACAACTTTTCAGATCTCACCTTTTTGCATTTGTCACAGCAAGGAAAATAAATATGCTTTTCCTTCGCTGTTGTGCACAATGGCACATACACGAACAATGGAAAATATTGAGAATTTCCTACCTTGCCCCTCCAAGTCATTTCTGTCTCCCACTTCCACACCAGTTCCTGCACTAAACACTTCCAAACTTGTCTTGCACCACACTCTGTCATTGCTAGTTCTAATTCAGGGATCTCCAGTATATCCTCGATCACCATTTTCAGGTGTTTCTGTAATATTGCACAGATACAGCAGTAATTTGCATGGCAAGAGCACTACATGGAAGACAGATGATTTGAAAAAGGAACTATGCAAGTCATCTTCATTAAATTGGACCAGTACCACTTGCTGCCTTCTTACAATACCCATCTAACATCTCAACCCCTGCAGTTTTACTTCAATTTGCACTTGCACATTGACTGTGATTCTCTGGAAAGCAACTCTCTCGGCCGCTACAATTCACACCTTCAGTAAAGCAACTCTCATTGCAATTTGCAAGTTATCTTTGAGTGCATTGTAGCTTCTACACGACAGTCTGTTTGTGTTTATCTTTCTCTCACTTTCTTTTCTTACTCTCCTCAGACGAGCAGCGCAGCACTGTCAATGAGTCCAGCAGCCTGCTGGGTGGTTCTCCCAGAAGGCACTGCAGGAGAAAAAGTTCCCCGTACCACACAGGGCAGCTCCACCCGGCTGTGAGAGTGGCAGATCTGCTCCAGCACATCAACCAGATGAAGACAGGCGAGGGGTACGGCTTCAAACAGGAGTATGAGGTGAGAGTCTGTTGAGGTTACAGGGGTTTTGACAAGCGATTCAGCAAGTATGTGTCTTTTTGGCGAGATTTAAAAGAAAGTGAAGTACAGAGGATGTAAAGCCTTTGAAGGGCACAAAGTAGCTAAGGACACATTTGAAAAGAAATTGGTTTTATTACTCACACAAAAGTGTATTTTATTCAACAGCACAGCATTGTTAGCTAACATAAATATGCTACATCGGCTTCAAGTATTTAGACACATAATTTAGATGAGTTTACCAAAATATTAAAGTTCTGTTATTAATTACTGTACCTTCCAGGGCTGGACTGGGACAAAAAAATCGGCCCTGGCATTTTGAGCCAGAGCGGCCCACTACATTAATCAAAATCCTCCCCACTTGTGCACACCCTTGAATATGTTTACCAACTCCTATTCTATAAAAGCATAACATCCATTTATAGGAAATAATGACAAATTAAAAACTTAGATGTAATTTATTATTATAATAAAATTATAATCCATACTGGAAGTCCATCTTGTGTGTGCCTGTGTGTTTTGAGGGAACCTATATTAAATAATGAAATTAACAAAAACTTCCTGCTGTTGCACACAGGTAATGTTGATTAATAAGATAAAGATAAATAATAAAAGCAATGTATCAGAGACCCTTAAAAAATTTTAAATTAAACATCAAACATAGATTAAAGATTGTACAAAGTCCATCAAATGAACATAATTAAACAAATGCAACAAATATTTGTTTGGGCAGAACTACAAAACTAAAAGTAAAAAAAAATTGATTAGTTTTGCTTTAGTTGCACACTAGTTTGGTCATGTATAAATATCATTAGAACCATATTGTCATGTATATTGTCATACACATCATGCTGACAATCAAAAACAAAATTTCATGAGATCTCATTCGATTGTCTTCTGACCGAGTGCATTTTAAAATACATGAATGACACTCCTCATAGAGCTTGAGAAGCATATATTATTTGTATTTTGTAAAATAAAGACTTGCAGGTTAAGAAAACAGCATGGGAGTTGCCGCGGGCCTTGGTGCAGATGAAAAGTAAAAAAAAAAACGGATATTTAAATAGACAAATAGGTAACTAGATAGAATAGACAGGAATATATTGATCTGTGCTCCGCTGCAGACGCAAAAGGCAAAGCCTGCTCATCGCTTCTGCTTTTCCGCGTGCCTGAGTGAGAAACAGGCGTGACTTTCAACTATTTTGACAAAAACCCATCAACGTTGCACGCTTACACAGAGCCCAAAATGGGAAACTGCCCGGTCTGCCAGGTGGCCATTCCGCCCCTGGTACCTTGTCATTCTAATCTCCTGATATGGAACACAAACCGAACTTTGTTTATCTTCAGAACACAAATTAAGATATTTTAGATGGAATCCCAGAGCTATCTCATCCTCTATAGACAGCAAAAGTTACAAGACGTTTAAAGCCTACATAAGAAACCAAAAACACTGTCAAACCATTTCATGTGACTTTAGTGGTTCAGCTGTGATCATACAAGCAAAAAAAAAAAAAAACTGTATAAAGTCTTTGTTTGCCAATGTCTCCTTGTTCTCATAAGCTAATTAGGGTGTACATTTGCTACATAAAGTATGACATATTGACATTAGAGTAGTGGAACACACCAGTGTCATTTTGCCCATAATAAACATGCAGGGCTGAAGACAGAAAAGTCTTTACAGATTTTTAAAGCACAGACTGTTGAAGCACTGATGTTACATGGAATGTTTTGACAATGATTTAAGACCATCTTGGCTGTCTAAAGCCCCAGTCACACTGACTGCAACATGCAGCAGCAAAGTGACAAGCGACCATTCATTTGAGCGCTATAACTTCCAGGAATCTATAGCTGCACAAGCAATAGCTCCAATTGGTGACAGATTGTGGGTGTGTCAAGTGACAAGACAATTTTCAAATTTCAGCTCATTCGCTGTCAGCGAATCTCATATATAAACACTACTAAAAGAAACCTCAAGGTAGGAATGCCCATCAGCAACTTCCTTTTTTTTATATTTGTATTTTATCTTAGGGCATGTACAAAAATAGAATCTTTTTATATATAATTTTGAAGAAAGTTACAGAAATGTACAATCGAGTGGAATCCACGAACAACCATTTAATGTAATGTTTTGAAAACAAGCATAAACATAATTGTAGTTTAGTTATTTAAGAAAAGGTGAACCAATGAATACAATGAAAATAATCCGCATTTAGATATTATATATAATCTGAATAATATATATTCATATTTTTTATATCTCTTGTGTTCTTTCGGAATAAAACCAGTGACATGATATGCCAGCAACAAGTCAACAAGTGTGGCTGTTTGACTCAATTTGAGGAAGTTTGAGGAAATTATTCTGCAGTTGGATTGACTGACCACTAAAGAGAGTTGAATTGAGTTGTGCAGCAGAGGACATTTAACAGTGTGATATTCAGTTACACCAAAAATAACATTGCAATTAAGTTAATTTGTGTTCCATAGACAATCTCAGAATGACAAACAACAAAATGTTCTTTTTTGGCATAATACTTTAAACATATTTTAAAATGTTTACCTGAATGCTGCCAATGCATTATGACAATGTATATCTGGCTTTTAAAGTTTCTCCCTCAAATAATTGCACATTTGTTTACATTATGTATGGTATATTTAATGTTTTATGTTTTGAAATGATAAAAACCTCTTTGAAAGGGGCTATGTTGCTTTTCCTTCCTTAAAATGTAGTCTTAATTAAATTTCTTGGCCATTGTATATTTTTTGCTTCATTGGTAAGGCACCATTTAAAGTATGGAGTTGGTGAGATTATGAAACAATAATACTTGAAGGTTCTTGAATACTTGTACCAGCACATTAGCATATTAAAAGGTTTTTTTGAAAGTTTACATGACCCTGAAGAGTAATGGCTGATGAAAATTCAGCTTTTCATAACAGAAATTACATTTTAAAAAGTAGTCAAATAAGAAAAGAGTGCATTAAAAATGTAGTAAAGTTTGGCAGTGTAACCTAAATATTAATTTCTGTTTGATTGAAGTAATGCAACCTCAGTAAGCAAAAGAAAACCTTGAAAAACATTTTTTTTAAAATATTTCAGACTGATGTTTGTGTGACAGTGTACAGTATCTTCTTGAATACTCAATAGGAAGCTCAGATCTTGATACTAAGAAGTGTTAGTATCATGGATTGTTCTAGAACGTGACTCGCCCCATGTGAACAAAGACCTGCCAAACCTTTCAAAGTTCTTTCATATCTGCCCTTCACAAAAAGACATTTCTTATTCAAAATTATTCTGCTAATGTATTAATAAAACCTTCAGTTCTTCTCTGCGCTCACCACACTTTCTCAATAGAATACAGATATTCTTTCGGAGTCATTAATCTGAGCCCAAGGCAAATTAATTTCAACTCTTAAATCTATGCTTGGAAAAAAAAAGGCGGTGGCTATGAAACTCTAGGACCACAATTTCTTAGAAGGCAATTGCTTAGACTGGTCTGACGGTCACATTCAAACCATCTAAAGCTGAACAGACATTACAAATTTTCAGTAACTTTTTTTAATTTAACTTACGGTAACTTTTTTGATATTTTAAGTCTGTGAAGAGTTGTCAACAAAATATGCTGCATCCGTAGCCAGCTCACAGCTCATGCTGTCGCCCACACTCCTCTAATATGTGCACCTGTGAGCTACATCTTACACTAGTTTGCACAAATATATTTTCAACACTGCCATCTATAATCTCAGCTTTTTTTCATTTTTTTTTTTCATTTTTCATCATCAGCCACAAGAATTCAGAGCATTACCAAGGTCTGCACTATGTCAGCCATTGTGAATTTATGTCTAACTGCTGTATCTCGAAATATGAAATGATGCATTCAGTCTACTGTATTTATGATTGCATTTCTAGTGAATACAGTTGAAGTCAGAATTATTAGCTCCCCTTAATCATTAGCCCCCTGTTTATTTTTTTATTCCCCAATTTCTGTTTAATGGAGAGAAGATTTTTTTCAAAACATTTCTAAACATAAAAGTTTTAATAACTACTTTCTAATAACTGATTTATTTTATCTTTGTCATGATGACAGTAAATAATATTAGACTGCATATTTTTCAAGACACTTCTATACAGCTTAAAGTGCCATTTAAAAGCTAATAAACTATAATTAGGTTAATTAAATTAGCTAATAATTGTGACTTTAAATGTTTTGTCTGCTTTCATTAATATCAATAATTTTATGTCAACACGTTCATTTCTTAGAATGTCTTATCTGTTGTTGTAGCAGAATTTTGACGTGCTTAAGGAAGTACTTATTTACATAGTTTGATCATACTAAAGCACGCAGCTAAATTGACTAAATTACAATGCTATTTTTAAAAATGTGTAATTTGAAACTTAATTAAACACTATTAAAAGAAATGTCATTATGGTATAAGTCATTATGACTTATTAAATTTAATGACATCAATGTTTGTCAGTACATTCTGCCAGCAAAAACTTTTTTTTTTTCCAATGGAAGTATTATAGGACTTATCAATTTAGATGATGTACAGAATTGTATGAACTAATTGACTAAAAAATAATTTAAAAAGTTCAATCAATTGCTTTTAATATAAACTGAAACCAAGCTGTTTATAAGATTTATTTTACACAGTGGGCTTTAAAAGTTCAGATATACAAGATACTAAATGCCATCAGATTTTTTAATTTGATTAGATTTTTTTATTAATTTTTACAGGTTCCTCTATTTGCATGTTCAGTAATTTCCCTTTAGTAGTGATGAATAGGTTATTTTCAATGCATTTAAAGTAAAATTACTGAACCTACAGAAAGGATCCTAAGAAAAGTACAAAGATTAAAAGAAAATTCACCTAGAGGCTTTTGTATCTGAACTCAATTTTATTTTTATTTTTTTCTTGATGTCTGTGCCTCCTAGTTGATTTTTAGCCATTATTTTCTATTCATTATTTGTCTCTGATTGCTCCTA